TTCATATCCTGAACTTCCAAACTTCTGGTTTTCACGCTGTCTATCCATCCGTAGGTATTCCTACCTTCCTCCACTATAAACATATTGAACAGGAGCGAAAAGCTGTACAAGCCGCATTTTCTAGCATTTTGTATGATCCCGGATGTTCCCTGACGGCCGAGCGTCTTTTTTTCAGAATCATTTTTCTTTCTTCAAAGTTAGCGAAAACATTCCAAACTTGGACTGTTCATCTAACCCAACAGTGCTAAGCATGTTGCTGATAAGAACAAATGATGTACTGGAGTCATGAAATTTGCGATGAACCACAAGTCGAATGTTGGGGTTTATCGAACGATTCGATTTCTTGAAGACTCATCTGTTCTTATCAGCAAGATGTTTAGCACTGTTGTATTAGATGTGTAAGGAAACTTTGGAAGGTTTTTGTTAACTTCAAAGAAAGAAAAGTAATTTTGAAGAAATTACGGTCGGCTGCCGGTGATCAATACAGGATCATACAAAATGCTGGAAGATGCGACTTATACAGCTTCTCGCTCCTGTTCAATATGTTTATAGTGGAGGAAGGTAGGAACTACGTACACAACGTGAAATCCCGATATCTGGGGTTTCAGGATTAGAGCTTTCTTTCTAACCTGCGATCTCTTACTCAGCGGGGATGTTGATGCATGCGGCCCTAAGCCCCGTACTCCCGCTCCCCTCCCAAAGTGAAAGAGTTGAGAGCTAGCCTGCTCCGGGAGGCTCAGCCCGCTATAAAAGCGGCAAATGCGTGCACCCATTTAGAACTTCCTTATTCTATATGTAGTTTGCTTCCTCCAGTATCCTCTCTTCTTCTGTATGTGTCCTTTTAAACCCACGTTTGTTTCGTTTGAATTCCTGTTCGACATTGTTAACCTTATTTAAGTGCCGTACTAATGCCTGCACGCTTTGTGCTTGTCTTTGGCTGATAATCTTCATTCAAACTCTTAGCATAAGGTGGCTGATACCACATGAGAAAGAATGCCCGTATAAAAAACTCTAACATTGTCGTTACCGATTCAAAATCATTCTTAAGTAATAATTGAGAGGGGTTGATCATTATTATATTACACTTTACTTGGGTGATATTTGAGCACCCAGCCTCTTTTCCTAATTCTTGCTATAGAAAGCTCTGAGCTAGAACACAAAAGCGATCATCTGACTTTTGATCTATGATGCCAGCCTTGTATATTTAGGTATTTCGCAAGTAATACAGTTTTCTCCCCTGTTAATTCCTACATCCAGCTTCACTCATATACATGTGACGACAATGTCTGAAATAACATTATGAAACGTTGAAAATGTTTCAAATGTTCTGTGTCCTTATTCAGCTATCCCGCGTCATTCATTTGTCTCAAATCAAATTTAGGAAAGTATTTCCTACGATAAAATAGTTATTCTCTGCCCACGCGCTGTTGGGAAAGCATAAATACCATAAGCATAGAAGAATATCATGTGTACGTTTGCTTTTCAGAAGCTGCAAATTCACTTCACAGAATATCGTTTAGACTGGACCGTGCGTAGTGAAAGTCTCCAGTTTGGCTTTATCTTATATATAAAGCTGAATGTCTGTCTGTATGTATGTCTGTATGTCTGTCTGTACGTATGTGCGGAATAGAAATTTTTATTTCTGAACCGATCGGGACCAAACTTGGCACACATATACTTCGGGGCAGGGAGCGTGTCATAGGCTACTTTTCGTTATCGATCGATATCGATTTTATCGATTTTTTGCAAAATTTGAGCTAGGGGGCTGGGATTTTGCACAGCTGGGTAATCGAGCATGCTGATCACCCCCGTGGGGGTGATCAGCATGCTCGGTTACACCCCTCTGCCAAATTTCAGCCCCTAGCTCAAATTTTGCAAAAAATTGATAAAATAGACATCGATCGATGACGAAAAGTGGACTATGACACGCTCCCTGCCCCGAAGTGTATGTGCGCAAAGTTTGGCCCCGGGCGGAGCCGGGTTTGCCATCTAGTGTACTTTATTCTAGATCGTTCCATGTTCGTAGCTTTCCATTTTTCTGCTTATTTTTCTACAAAGCAATTGATTTGTTTCAAGATATGCGACTACTGTTAAAAAGCTAATCATGGTCTTTATGATGAACCCACTCGTGCCGATGAAAAGCTGACTCCTCATTCATTACACAAATTCCAAATATGAATTTTTCAGAAAAAAGCATTTTCGACATCTGCTACTTTTTCTTACAAAGGTGTTTTGCACATATTTCTTTTGCCACTCATAAAAAATGGAGTTTTCGCGTCAGTATGAGGAAAATATTAGGTTGCTACAGAAAATCAAGGCTTTATGGGGTGTCCCCTGAACAAGACTTTTTGCAGGACGGGCAGGGTACTGCACTGAAAATTGAGACAATAACAACCAGTGATCATACTATAAGCAACCCAATTGCACCGTCTAAACAAACGCTAATGCAAAAACGATTCAAGGGTCCACTGAGTTTTTCTGCATGACAAAATATTAGATTGTCCCGAGAGTTTTGTCCGTTTTTTCAACCTATCATAAAAACGCTTGGAAAGATAGGGAAACGCTCTAACAAGGGAACGATACTTAGTGTCCGTGTTTTGAGATGAAATATAACACCATTACACTCGCCTTCGAACGCTGATTCCAAATCTGGTTTCCGTTTCTGCTGAGCGTTTCTCTGAAGGAAGTTATGAAGGGTATTCGCGGCAAATTTGGCCGCGCGAGGCACATACGATAGGAGCACCAACATGGTAACATGTTAATATGCATTCATTTTCCGTTCATGTTCATTTTTATAGGAATCTCTTAGAATAAATATAGGAAACACTCGTATAAAAATGAATCCTCGTCAAATTTTCAACGAGTAAGGACATGCATTTACCTCGAGGAGATCTAACTCTCAAAAAGGATCTTAATAACCCTCAAAAAGAAGCTTAATTGAGACAATGCAAAACTGAAAAATATGAAGAACTCTGTACCTATAACTGCATCAGCTTGTGAGGCTAACGCACTAGCCACTATACCACAACTACCTGCGGTAGTGTTCCTATCATATCTCTGGAGGCCAAATTTGGCGCGAAAGTCCTTCGTAACTTCTTTCAGAGAAACGTTCAGCAGAAATGGAAGTCAGATTCGGAATCAGCATTTGAAGACAAATGTAATATATACATTTTATTTCAAAAGGCCATGGACACTAAGTATCGTTCCCTTGTAAGCACTATCCGACGCATCTTTTCTTTATCTTTCTAACTGTCATGATTCCATGCCGATTGATCTTTTGTTCACCGAGATAAACGCCGAAATTTCGAACTCATGGTTTTTACTATGTCCAAGTTTGACAATTTTTCACAATCTTTTATTTTTGACTTTCGGAAAAGCTTTGGCAACAGTTAGATAGAGCAAACAAAGGGCAATATCATGCAATTTTGCGGCATCTATAGCCAGCCTTGAAAATTTTCCAGAATTAGTTTTCCGATGCTATCAAATTTCACTCTTGCTGATGCCAAAAGCCAGAGATCATGAAACGGCGCACAACTAAGGTGTTATTCGATGCAGCTTTTCCTCCTCTTTCCATTGAGTGTATTTTCTCTCCAATTTGCGGTGTCTTTGGCGAAATTTTCATAATTCTTGAATTTGACCCCACCCCAGCGTGTACACGTAAAATGCAAAATCTTATATTTTGAAGCGGTAAACGCTCATTTGCTTCGTAAAAATAGTGGATAATCGTAATCGGTTTTTGAAAGCTCCAAAATCCAATGATTGTTAGCGTTCGAGGCGTTTCTGTATTTGAGAACTTCGCAAAAGTGAAGATTTTTGAAAAAATTATCTTTAAAAATATTGAAAAGCCAGCTAGATATGTCAAATAATTGCATTGCATTGCCCTTTGCTTAGTCTATCTGAGGGCTATCAAAGATCTTCCAAAAGTTGAAAATGAAGATTGTGAAAAATTGTCAAATTTGGACATAGTAAAAACCATGGGTTCGAAATTTCGGCGTTTTTCTCAGTGAGCAAAAGAGTAATCGGCATGTGGGCTAGACATTTAGAAAGAGGAGGAAAAGATGTATCGGACAGTGCTTAGAGCGTTTCCCTATCTTTGTTCCACATATTTTTATAATAGGTTGAAAAAACGGACAAAACTTTCGGGACAACCTAATATGTAGTAGTGCAAAAGTAGTTAAAAAGTCTTATTTTCTCAATGAAAACAATACGTATCAAATTGTATAAATTAGAAGATTGGATTGGATCACACTAGGGTCTGCTGCCCGTTTGGGCATGCTAACCAACCTTTTGTAAATTACGGGTCGAACGCTCTCGCCTGTGCGAGCCGTGTATAACGGTGCAACGCGCCCAAACATCGAGCGGGAGATTGATAAAGGCCGCCTTTGCTGAGTTTCAAAAATGTTGAGTCGGAAATCTGACGGCAAGGTGGCAGAAGATTGTGCGCAACAGCGAAAAATACATTGTCGACTGAATTTTGACAAGTTTTTGTCATTTTGTTGGTCTATGAAAACGCTACAAACTTATGAAAGCATTTAATACCTTAGTCCAAAAACCAATCACCCCGCCCGTTCCTCGTCGACTTTCATTCAAAAACTTAAGTGGTTTCATATCTGACTTAACGAGATTCGACTAAAAATTTGCACACTAACTTACAACAATGCCGGCACACTTGGATGCTTGCAAAGATAGCGCCTGGGCACTCCTTGACGATTTTCACCAAATAGCCTCGAGAAAGTCTTTTTTTAAGAGATTCACGCTTTTTAGGCCATTTCCGGAATCGTTATGTGAAAAGGCCTGAATAAGGCAGAAAAGAAGTCGAGAATTAATTCGGACGCTACCTTTGAGATGGGAACTAGTTGGTTGAGATGAATTTTGATGTCCAAACTCATAACTAACTTAACCCCAGAATCTGACCCTCGCTTCATGTATTTAATAACCAGCTGATGTGAAAACATTCCTTGATATGTAAAACAATAATTTAAACATATTACTTTATTAGCCCTCTTTCAACGTTAGCCTTACACTCACACAACGACCAAATTTACATAGTTAATAAGTCATTATCATAGGAATACTTCAATTTATCTTTTTAGAATATTTTAGGCTACTTCCTTCTGCCTTTTCTTGTCACTCGCCGTCTTTCCTTCCCTTTGCCACTCATTTTTCCCTTTCTAGCCGTTGAAAGCTGCCCTGGCTGAGGAGGTAGCATCTTGCCTTTTGACGCTAGCATCATTTTATTTGCAATCGGTTGCAACATTTTACTTGCGCTTACTGGCATCATCTTACTTGGTGACATCCTCTTCATTGACCCTGCTTTTCTAGCACTTGACGCTTTTCTGGGTGGCGGAATTTTTGCAACTCCAGTCACCACTGCGCTCATAGTGCTTTCTTCTCGAGATGCTTCAGTAAAAGTTCGCCCATCAGGTTTTCTTCTGAGTTTGCGTGAAGAACGCTGTGTTAGGTTTTCCAGAGTTTGCAGAGTTTGTTCTGTTCGTAACATTCTTCCAGGCCGTGATGATCGCTGTGTGAGGCTTTCATCCCTAGTCCTCGTAGGAGTGTCTTTTGCTTTCTGCGTTTTGTCGCTGGATGGTGCTGATAATCCTTTAATGCTTGCTACTCTTTCTTTCAGCTGTGCAAATGAAGTGCGAGGAGCTGGTGGAAGAGAAATGCGCATCACTGGAATCCACTCTAGAGATAGCGGCCTGAATATGATTTGCATAACTCAGAGCATGACGCTGCGTATATTTTAGTGAATTTGACGTCCAACCTAGTGCCGCTGCGATCCCAACAATGATTACGCGTGAGAAATGGCCATGGAGCGCACAATTCAATTTTTGCACTTCATGACCATTAGACTAAATGTTATCGACAACGCAAGAAAATTGCTTCATCATCAAATACCCCTTCAATTGCTTTCGATGCAACAACACTATGTCAACCATCAAATCTACTGGACTGCAAACTGAGACCCACCGATTGCTTTCGATCCCATCACGAAGGATTGCCTTGGCTGTATCATGATCGAATCTATTGGTGGTGTATTGAATCAGTTCTTGCAACAAAATCATATGAGGATTGTCAACAAGATTCTGTCCACCTTAAACATTGTCCACTTTCAATTTCAATCTCGTTTTTATAATACGACACTCATAATATGGATTGTCACTTCTTATGGTTAGAAATCGAAGACAGGGTTATAGGTGTTATCAAGAAGTTGCTTACTAGTCCGCATAATAGCTTTTGTCGTGAGGTCAGGTCACTTATATAATATGTATACACAGGTAATACCATATATCATGCAGGGGGGGGGGGGGAGAAGAGGAGTCAGAAAACTCCATTAGTACTCAAGAGTTTACTGGCATACTAAGTACAATATCGCTCATAATTTATGCGAACAAGTCGCGACGGTCATCTGAGTGAGGTGGCACCGTGGCGTGACTGTACTTCGCTTCAAGGTGGACAAAATCTGAATCTAATTGCCCCAATCGAATCAGGTCGACGAGGCTTACAGTATGTGACACTTGCTTAGATATGGTATGCGCACGGTATAAAGCAAAGATTCGCTATCAACTTTGATTTCTACTTATCGTAGATAAGCGAATGTGCAGTGATTACCCCTGAGCAACATACCGCAAGCAAATATCTGAGAGGGTTTCGAACTTACGCACTTATTAGCACACTAGCTGGCTTACCCGGCTCCGCCGTATGTTCCGAATAGAAAATTCCATTTCTTAACCGATCCGGACCAAACTTGGCACACATACACTTCGGGCCCCGACGGGTGTCACAGTCCACTTATCGTTATCGATCGATGTCGATTTTATCGATTTTTTGCAAAATTTGAGCTAGGGGCTGAAATTTGGCAGAGGGGTGTAACCGAGCATGCTGATCACCCCCACGGGGGTGCCAACTCCCAGCCCCGTAGCTCAAATTTTGCAAAAAATCGATAAAATCGATATCGATCGATGACGAAAAGTAGCCTATGACACCCGCCGGGGCCCGAAGTGTATGTGTGCCAAGTTTGGTCCCGATCGGTTCAGAAATGGAATTTTCTATTCGGAACATACGTACAGACAGACAGACATACAGACAGACAGACATGCAGACAAACAGACATTCAGCTTTATATATAAGAAGATGTGCCTCAAGGTGAATTGAATGAGCTCTTTGAATCTAGATTTCGCCCAACCCGAAGCGAGATTTGGTTAACGGTAATGTCACCTAACTAAAGACAGTCGCTTCTTTATCTGCAGAATTTATGAGCCTTATCGTATTCTTTCTAAAGCTTGCATATTTATTCATTGGTCCCAGTATTTACGGTGTGGGTCAGCACCTTAGTACCATTAGGGTGGTCGGGAAATTATGTAACAGCTTAACTTTCCCCGAAATCTGAAAGCTGTCGTTGGTCTTTACAAATCAGGTGGCAACTAAAACTTCATAAGTATAAGTGACCGCCTATCATTCCAGCAATGTGCTACCGCTATTATCCCAGAATGCTGACAGCGACGCTCCGAAGGAATGGAACCAGGTTGGTTGAGGTTGAGGTTTTTTTTCCAGGTTGAGGTTTAGTAATTTGCTTCTTCAAAAAAGTACTTCCAAGTACGTTCCATCCCTATCAGATTGTGTTCAACATCAAGGGATGTGCGAACGGAGAAACAATAAGAACCAAGACGCAGAAAAAAACCTCAACATGCGTGCGAACATCGAAAATAGAGCCGGATCAGTTTGGGTGCATATTGTATATAAGTGGCTAAATCTTCAAATTTTCAAAAGCTGCAGTTATTTTCATTTGTCCATGATTTTTCAACCACTCAGACAATAACTCGGGCGAGCGGCGGACCTTAATGGCTTTCCGGGCGAGCGACGGGCTTTGATTTGTGGGCGTGGCTTTCTTGCGGACGAGAGGCGTGCCCTCGCTACCGAGCGTGCGAGCGGCGGACCTTGATTTGACCAGCGGCGGCCCATCCCCTCAAGCGGGTGGGCGGCGTACCATTAACACGTTAGGCTAACTTGCCATCATTTCTATGTACGAGTCATTCTCATTTAGTGTTATTGCGGCGTGAGGGCGGACAACTAGCAGTGGCCAGCAACAATAAGCAGGTAAGTGTGCTCAGATAGTTATGGCGAGCATCTGCTGGCCAGCCACATGCCCATCCCGAGGGCGCGCCCATAAGACTTGATACATACCTGGCTGCTTAGGTATGAACGCCCATAATCGGCCGCGGAAGTGGTGGGAATACTGAGTCGCGCCCGAGCGTTAATCGACTGGAGCATGTTATCCTTCGCCCACTTAGAGATCTGGACATAGGAGTCCTTCATAGTAACTCTCCTCATTGTATATATTGTTGTGCGGCAACGATACAGGACAATGAGGTTGATGACTAACTAATCACTTTGAAATGTGCACATTGTAGCGCGACTTCAGCTTGTTCTGATCATTTTGTATAATCAAAAGCTTCGCAGCCTCATATGGCTTCTTCAGCTTGCATAGGGTCGGGTATGGATTACCTCCTCCTCAAAAAGGACGATTGTAGTGTAGCGTCGTAGAATCGTCGCTGTTGCGAAGCTACATCATGTTTTTAGATAGTTTTGTTTGTGTTCACCATACATCAGATGTACCATTTTAGTCCAATGGCAATCGCCACTTCAAAATCTCATAAAGTAAGACTGAACATACTTTTCCACTTCTTTGAGATACGGAGTAAAATTTTCAAGGGCGACCTCAGCATAGAGCAACGAAATTGAGCACGCCAGTACTGCAGGTGTCACTGGCCTGCAGTACCGGCGTGCTCAATGCTGCTAACAAGGAAAGGATACCAGCATTAGTCGGCGATCGAAGATGAGATGTATATCTGTAGACGCGCCTTTGAACGCTGATTCCAAATCTGCTTTCATTTTTTGCGGAATAAGTTTCCGTAAGAAGTTGTGGGCGTTAAAATCCCCAAATTTATCAAGGTTTAGGTGGCCTAAAATGGGCGAAAAGCAGCAAAAAAGCACTGGAAATAGGAAAATCATTTTTGTATCGAGTACGTTGTTTGCAAGGAAGGAACAAAGCGTGTGGAAATCGCATAGGTGTTGTTTTAGAGCTTTTCGCCGATTTTAAGCCACTCAATTCTTGGCGAACCTGGACATTCAAACGCTCATAACTTCTTTCGGAAACTTATTCCGCAAAAAAGGAAAGCAGATTTGGAATCAGCGTTCAAAGGCGCATTTAACGATATACATCTCATTTTGAACTGCCAACTAACGTTGGTATCCTTCCCTTGTAAGCCACACAGTTCTCACTAGGGGAGGAACTTAGAATCTGCATTAGGCAATCAACTGCAAACGTCATGACTATTGTATGACGGTAACCGGGTCCAACTGGCAACGTAGAAGACGAACTTTTTTGGCCTAGGGTTCTATCTATAATGTCTTGAGCAACAACATGTGCTGTCACTAACAGAGCAAATTTGATGATTTATAAATATCTCGTGTGGAAAAGTTCTGATGATCCTTGCTCAGCTAGCTATCTTATCTTGAAATGACTGATTAGTTACCACAAAAGTCGGAAAAGTGCCAACAGTAATTCTTGAAAAGGTATTTGGAGATAGAACATAGGAACCGGATTCCAATGTTGTGTTCGATTCCGCACTAGGTGCTCGCAATATTCAAGGATATCGTTCTGTACTCGAAGAGCATACTCTTCAAGCTTTTCTAAACCCGGCGGACAATCAATATAAATATTTTGCAAGATAAACATCCACCAGAACCTTATTTTTACAGCATCGCAAGATCTGTTCCATCTTGATTTCTCGAATCAACTGTGGTACTGATGCTGAACTAGAACTGGATATTCAAAGCCATAAACCGGCTCAGTTCACGAAATGCAGTGGTTTTTGACTCGTTTTTGACGCTGGCTCTTCTAAGCGCCTCATGCCTTTTGCCATTAGATTGTGCTTTTACCCGTAAAAGCTATGTAGAAAAGTAGCTAGCCCCACAAGAACTTCCCAACGTTACCACCAGCACAAACTCAAAAAAATGCAGAGTGTCATGGTTTGCCCAAGTTCGGCAAGCTGCTGTGATGGTACTACAAATCTGATGCGAAGTAAAAGCAGAAACGATGCCCTTTCAGATAATCGCCGGGGGCAGGCGGTCTGCAAATTCGCGCTTTTCTGCAAGCGCTCAGCAGAATTTTGGGGCGTGGCCAAACCTTCAGCGAGCGGTACTTTCTTTACTGTCTAATGTTGTGCACATTACACCATTACAGTGAAATGTACCGGTCATATATTCTTAGCAGCGTCGCAGCCCCACCAAGAGTCTACGCCAAGCAGAGATCCGCTTTGAGGCAGCTGGCACCTCAGAAAAAGTTCGTTTTGCACTTTATCCTAACTTTCGATATTAAGTTCGCATTTGCAGTGATGAAAGAGTCGAGAATCAGTTCAACGGAGAAAATTCCGCAGGGATAGAAGAGGAGGTTCCTCGAGGTTATTTATGACGTCTTGGAGAAAAACCTTTGAAGAGTTTTTGATTTTTGAAGGAACGTCTACGAGAGGAGTGAATTCCACTTCGATGCACGTTCTCGTAATTTTGAAACATTTCCTTCTCCTACATCCTTATACGACTGCGTTCGCAAGAATGTTTTATACATGGATCAAGCCGCCAAGTATATACTGTCAAGGATGCGTCAACAAAGATTCAATGAAGCAACTTTTCATGTGAATTCTACCCCTGTAAACTACAAAAGCAAAAAGGGCTTTTTTGTAGGAATTTGTGAGATCCAACGTAGTAATGTGCGCAAAGACGACATATGGAAATCTGAATGTTTGAATGATCCCGATAAGCATCAGCTGTGGAACATTGCTAATAGAATGACGGTATGGCTGAGTTTTCTATTCGTTAATATCATTGTAATATCCTGTTTCAGGCTGAGATAGCCTAGGGCAATTTCAACAAAGACGGCACGATTTATGGAAAATGCGGAAAGGAATGCTCCAGATACTAACGTTACTGTCAGTGTGCACAATTGCTCAAGGCTATGGAAGATAGACGCGAATCCCCCGTTTAAGCAGGTTCCTACAAAGATTTCATGACATTTATGAAAACACCAATCTAGGTCAGTCCAACGCAACTAGCTAGGGATTGGGAGAGAAAAAGAAAAGGGAATGCGTATCAACTACTTTGTTTTTTGTATCGATTTGTGCTGGAAAGAGTAAGTTTTAGGAAGATTTGCAAGGAAGGGTACTTTCTACAAAGCGCATTTAGATCACGGATCTCCCAGAAAAAATCCAGGAATTTTCCGTAAGAATGAGCCAAACCGGAGGAAGGACTGAGGCTTTAAAAAACCTCCCCGAAGAAATTGAGGACGTGTTGAAAGGTAAAGGACAAGTTTATAGGGGCGCGGTTTGACAATATTACCGATATTTAGATTTTGGAGAAGATATGTTAGGCCTAGGGCACGACGAATTAAAACCCTGGATGGAAGTCAATCTTGAGGATTCTAAGTGAGCTCTTGAAGATCGAGACTTGTTGTAAACTACGAATTAATTCATTAAAGGTTTTACAAGAATCTAGCAAAAACGGATGAAGAAAGAGAGAAAATTTTGGATGAATTAATGGAGCAGCAAAAGGACTGGCGGCCACACCTCTTCAGACCTGCAAATGGCGGTGTACGTTTAAGAAAATCGGTTTAACCATTCTACATATTGTTTATAAAATTTAGGCAAGATGTGCAGTCTTACAGTTACCACTCGGGGAAATGGATACCTAGCGACGTGAGAACATTACAGCAAATAGACAATTTAGTGATTATTTTATGTGCTTCAGCGACAGAAGCGTGCGGCACTAGAGATGAAGATGCCCCGGAAGGTGGAAGAAAAAGATTGAGAAGATTCTAGAAGAAGATTTTTTGGTAAACAGCGAATTTTTGGCGTATGTGTAGATGAGTGCTTGCACCTTTGCACCTTTTTTGCGCTCATGAGAATGTGATATTGTTCTCTATTTCATTGATACATATTTTGTTCCGGTTTATTATCTCGTGCTGTTTCAAATCATGACCCTGAGCATGCTCATTGCATTTGCTTTTGCATGTGGTTAGCTTTTCTAATAAACTATAAAACATTACAATAGTTGTGTTGTACATATCTATCTCAAGAATTTAGGCGTTAGCACATCTGCCCATTGGAAAAGAAAGGAGAGATTATTAACGCAATGACAGTAAGCTGTCAAATCCGTGCAGTCTTCAGAAGAGGCATATCTCTAGAGGGAGAGCGAGACAATATATAGATATTAGCCCGCCAAAGGCACTCCGCTCGTCCGCTTTGATGCGAGCGGACGAGCGGAGTACTTTTAGCGGGAGAGTGGAGGGAAGTACTCCGCTCGCCCGCTAAGGGTACTCCGCTCGCCCGCTAAAGGTACTCCGCTCGTCCGCTTTATATCTGTAGCGGGCGGCCCGCGTGCCTCTAGAGGACGAGCGGCGGGAGGCATGATCGCCCGCCCGGTAATGGCCCGCCGCTCGTCCGAGTTATTGTCTGAGCACTTCAAAATTGAGCGTTGCTTTGGAGTGAGTGCGATAGCCGTGATAAAAACATTCAAAAATTTTACCTCCACAGATCACGCGCATTAGTTCTAACCGCTTATCATGCAGCAATCGTCCGCCCGAAAAAGCTATCATACGAAGTGATTCTATTAGGCTAATGCAAAATAGTGGCCGTTTTTTTGAAACTTTCCCATCAAAATTTCTTCTTGAAAAAGACACAGCATGCTACTGAAAAGCTCCTATGTAATGGCTGTTGAAGCAGGCTTCCAGATTCATCTGTTGGAAAATTAAAGAACTCCGAATGACTGCATCTAAAATCGTCTCGCATCTCAGAATCTCACCACTTTCACTTTTCTGGCCAGTTCGAGCGCGAATGACCTGCGCTTTCTGTAAAATCTAATTATTGTACGTGTAAGAAATTTTTTACATCACGCACATTATCTAGACTGAGATATCGGCGCTTCAACATGGGCAGCCTTGCCGACATTTTGTGACCCATGTATTTCATCTAAAGGAGGCAGTTGCCAAAGCTTTGCTCAGTTCTGTACGCGTAAGGGTGCAAAAAAACAGCTGTTCAGTACAGAAAAACAGAAACTTCCTATAATTCGGACTTTGAGGCCTACTGAACAATCGTGAAATGACGGCAAATTTGAATTCTATTTTTCTTTTCACCAACTTGTTTGCTCAAGCCCTTCTTATCTTCTTTTGTCCTACTGACTTGCGGCTACAAGATGGGCGGCTTTTTATTTAAACTATCGAACTTTGGAGAAGGTTGTGATTTGTCAAACTCAAGGTTTTAAAAGAAAAACTTTTTTTTTAGTTTTTCAGTCCATGCTTCTCTGTTCAATCGTGATATGAGTATAGATGAATGTGCACTGTGTTGCCAAAGGTGTGCTGCATCTGATGGTTTTTGCCTCATTCGGAAATCGCATTTCCAGAAAGTTATAGTAAGTCAAAGTGAGAATCCGCCAAGTGGCATTATTTTTGGATCAACTTAATATTCGTGCTTTGCATGTCGCATAATTTTCGAAAACGGAATTTCTTCTTAAAAGCAGTAGAACGGCAGAATGAGACCCGTGACAAAACAAGGTCACAGGGTAGGAGCTCCCATATGGAACCTATCGGCCACCTACCCTTGTTTTGTCACGGGTCTCATTCTGCCGATCTGCTGCCTTTAATGTGGGTTATGTATTGTTAGCCATACCCTACAATTTTATTTTGCATAAAAGTGGTGAAAATTTCAAGAGCATTTGCGAGCTTGCCTTCTTTCCAAAGTGCTTCTTTCGCCGCTAAAACCTCAACTTCTGAGTTTAATTTGAGCCAAGGAAGGCATCCTGGTTTGATCCTAAAATCATCATTGAAATTGCTCCATGAAACAACAAACGCATACAACTCTGCTAGCACATAGAACCACGACTCGGCATCTCCTCGCTCCCGTGCCATGGCTCTTTTGTGCGCATCCATGCTCCAGTATGGGAGGGTATAGATATCTGGCGTTCCGTATCTGTACAATCGAGCTATGCAGTATTTCTCAGAAATTTGTGATCATTTCACCTTATTCTTTTTCCGAACTTCACGGTGTCACCGTAATCTATGAGATATATTCTATTGAGGGCAGGACGTGCTCCGATGCAGATGTTTGTCATTTTTACGTCTCGATGAACGTATTTGCGTACATGAAGGAACTGTAAATGTTATGAACTAAGCCATTCAAAGTCAGAAGTGTCCCTGCAGAGCTTTGTGGTAGTGTTATAGGTCGTCCGCGCAGGGCGCGGAGAGTGCGCAAGGTGTGTATTGCGCGTCACTTCTCTTTCTCGTGCACTCTCGCCGCCTGTTTTTCTCTGCGCTTCTTCCAGTCGTGAACTGCCTTCAATCTACGCAACAGCGTTGCTCTCCGTGCGCAGCGCGGACATCCTATACATTCTTACCGATAATGCAGACAATACTTCATAAGCTACGTAGAACGCTGTGGATGGTCTGAATGCTGCAGTTTGTTCTCTCAATTTTTCAAGATTGCGATCGAGAAGATTCATTACTGAAAAAAGAGTTTAATATTGCACTGCTGTAACGTAGTTGTTCGCATGGTGGAGACTGAGCGATTGCAGCCTTCTGCCACAAGAGGCAGACCACATACACCTTATATTCAACTAACAATGATTGAGATGACTGTGGTACGCCGTGGTCGTGAATTTCGTGATAGATTATGGTGCAACACAGACAACGTTTATGTGCAAGAGACGAAGTGGAACGAGGGCGCCAAACACAGGACGTAGACTATCCTTACTACACTGAAGGTAACATCCTGCAAAACGGAGCGGCAATCAAATCAAAGGCAGTACCGCAGGTTGTGGAGTTGACCGATATGTTTGACAACATCTTAAAATTTGGGTGGGTGTATACCCGCATATTCTGGCCTACTCCGAGAAAGACATGTTTTGTAGGAATATGGTGTTAGAAGTCTCAGTACCACAGACTATGACTCTAGTAGGCGACATCTAAGGGAAAGATACTGATTTGATCGAAGGTGAAATTTTTATTACTAGCTGCTTCCAAATTTGTTCCGTAGAGCTGTTCGGCAATGTTGTCAAACCTTAAAGGCAGCATCTCATCATAATTGGGTTATCAGGATTTCTGCCTAATAGAAGCCTTTGCAACCCCATCAAACCTACCGCGGATTCAGAATTGCAAGAACTGCTCGAAACCCCGTTGAGAGGCAATGCGGATGTAACGCGGACGAGTTGTGCCTACTCACCCTATCCTCCGCCACATTGGCAGCAGCATTGAGGAGGTGGGCGCTGAGTGGAAGGACGTGTTGGACATGTCTGGGAGAAAACCAGAGAAGTCGCCCGTATGGAACAAATCCCTTTTTGCGGACCATTCCGAGCGTATTTTTCTCGGCCTAGAGGGGGCTAAATCGAGTCGGACTGTTGCAGAGGCCTATTTAGGGACCTTGCAGATTTGTGGAGATACCGCAATCAGTTTTGGCAAGGCATCGCCTTTAAGTGGCATAAGATTAATGAGAAGCTCTGCAAAAGACCTATGCGGATTCCCCCTGGCTATGTTTCTTTTGTAGTCAACGTACTTGATGCAAAATCAAATACCTATTTTCAGGTGTTTTAGAGCTTTTCGATAGTTTATACCACTTAAGCTTTCACAAACTTGGCTTACAAATGATCATAACCCCTTTTGGAGAGGTTCTGCAACAAGGAAAGCAGGTTTAGAATCAACGATCAAAGACGCGTTTTTGCCATGCATTTCGTCTTCGAGCGCAAGGCAAAAAATGTTATGTTAAAAGGACACGTTGACAAAGTAAGCAATTTTGAGCAATATATCATAGCGAACACGGAGGACTTATAGGATCCGCTTGTGGTTTCCACTTTTTCGTTAGAGTTTGCACTAGAAATTTCACATTGTCTTATTACGAGCGTTGGAAATAAGAGTTGAAGTACACAGCAACAACGTCTCAACGACAGTAGTTGCATGCAAAAATTGTGGCGCTTCATCACGTCACCATCAATTTTGCTTGCAATATTGCTTTTTCTTTGTTAAAACAAATTAGGGTATGTCTGCACTCAGGACCATTTCTGCTGTGTGTTGCGTACTGATCAACTCAACCATACGTTTTGGCCGCGATACAATTTCTGAGTAGTTAAACCTGTATCAAAAAAATCAAAATGAATTGCTTGCACCAATGTGGCAGGTTTGCGAGCACTCAGTTTGAGAAATTTGTACGTTACACTTCAATATGTAAGATGTAAGTTACCAATAAATGGTAGATCGGCTACTCTTCCACTGTCCAGAGGAACCGGTGAGTATGGACAGTTACATTTCTTCAACTCATTTAATATTCTGAGTTCGCGCTGAAAATATAAAAATTTTCATGTGCACTACTCAAACCACTGTTGTCTCTTCTGGTTGATCTGGGCGCTGAAGGACGAATCTCACATAATCTACTCAACCCCACTGTTGTGATGACAGAGGTGCTTATCTGTTTGATAGATGATCGTGTAGGTATTTATAAAAGATCCCGTCATGCCGTTCAAGTGAAAAGACGTATTGTCAACCAATAAAGAAATTGTTAAAGAAATTGTTTAAAAAAATAGAATATTCGCTTTTAGATTGTCTAACGCGTACGGATTTCTTCTCTGAGTACCATACTGCTCATTTATGTACATGAATTCTTTTGTCTTCCGAGTACCTCGTCTCCAGCCTTTGCGCGCCTCGTTTAAATTGCAACTTAAAAAGTTTCAAAAGCTCTCTTTTCTCTTGCCTCGGGTGTGCATGTCTTTAGCAATGTCACCTTCTAAGTGCGTTGAAATATTGCAGCACTATAGTACCTTCCGGGAAGCGCGGGTTGTGAGCGATAGAACTATAGTCCGATTTCGTCTAACAAGGGAACGATACTTGATGTCCGTGGCCTTTTAAAATGAAACGTATACCATCACACTCGTTTTGGAACGCTGATTTCGAATCTGACTTCCTTTTCTGCTAATCGTTTCTCTGAAAGAAGTTATGAAGGATTTTCGCGTTAATGGTCGCCTAAGAGAAAGCGACCGAGGATGCCTAACTTTCAAAAAGAAGCTTGATTAAGGCAATGCAAAACTGAAAAACGCAAGAGGACTCGAACCTAAACCTACATTAGCTTACGAGGCTATCTCACTAGCCATTACATGACATCTTAGCGGTGATTTTGGCATTGCGACCACGCTCCGTTGGCGCAAAAATCCTTTATAACTTCTTTAAAAAACGATTAGCAGAAACGGAAGTCAGATTCGGAATCAGCGCTCCAAGACGAGTGTAATGGTATACGTTTCATCTCAAAAGGCCACGGACAAGTATCGTTTCTTCCTTGTAAGCTTTGGTCATTTTCTGGGTTGGGACATGTGAGTTTCATTACCCCCACGAGCTACTCATTAGTTACTTTGCGGGAGCTGTTACTGTTTGCCAACTATTCTTAGTGAAGCCTTCGCGTTGACAAAAACATTGTATCTTTTAACATGGATTGCACTTACTCAAAAAAAAAAAGCTTCATCTCACCTTCATTCTGAGTACAATATTAGCACTGTTCGGCCTGAGACTCGTTTTCATGGCGTAAAGTATACCTTTTTCTTCCAGCTCATTGCTAAAATGCCAAAACGAAAAGTTAAGAGCACCACTTCCCTTTGTGACGTACTTTGCGCATATTTGTCTCGAGATCAAATATAAGGCTGTGTATCGTCCTTCATTGTATTTGAGTTGTACTTCATATCTATTGAAATGACGATCTTCTTCGTCCAAACTAAACTAAAGGGTTTTTTGAAGCGGTTTGCAGAAACAGAGTCACAGCACTTGTCGTCTGTTATGATGAGATCTCCAGTCATAAGGTCACTTTTGTCTCTGATAAACATGTCCATTAAAATTGCATCTTCTTTCTAAAAATTATTTGTTGGCGATGCGGATCGAAGTGAATTGGGTCTATATAACTGCAATGTAGGAGGCATAGCGAGCGTGAAGAAATCTGGCATTTCATAATATTTTTTGCATGGATTGACTCGTAAATTCAGGAATAAAAATTATTGTAATTTCTGGTTATTTTTATAGACTTTGCTCTAAAATTTCAAACTGATGCGAGGCAGCACCTCTCAGTTAGTTTTTTTGTGACGAATCTTGGGGTTGATCCAGACTGCAGCGATGCAGAGCCGCAGGCCGCGTATGCTACGCTGCTGTGTTGCACATGCTCACGACACATCCTCAGTCATGGGTATTGCTGCGGTGTAATTATTAAAGCTACATGTAGAGGTTAAAAGTTGTATCTCAAAGGGAAGGATACTTAGTCGAAGTGGCGTCTCCAACATGTATATTGTCTTAGAGAGCATGGAACGGTAATTTCAAATCTACTTTCTTTCAGAAGGATGCTCTATCTTATATATAAAGCTGAATGTCTGTTTGTATGTATGTATGTATGTATGTATGTATGTCTGTATGTCTGTCTGTGTGTACGTATGTTCCGAATAGAAAATTCCATTTCTGAACCGATCCGGACCAAACTTGGCACACATACACTTCGGGCTCCGGCGCGTGTCATAGGCTACTTTTCGTCATCGATCGATATCGATTTTATCGATTTTTATCGATTTTTTTGCTGAGTTCACCTACGGGGCTGGGAGTTGGCACAGGGGGGTAATCGAGCATGGGGATTCCGAATACAATATTGGTTTTCAGGATTATCGATTACTTTTATCGATTTTATCGATTTTTTTGCAAAGTTTGAGCTACGGGGCTGGGAGTTGGCACAGGGGGGTAATCGAGCATGGGGATTCCGAATACAATATTGGTTTTCAGGATTATCGATTACTTTTATCGATTTTATCGATTTTTTTGCAAAGTTTGAGCTACGGGGCTGGGAGTTCGCACAGGGGGGTAATCGAGCATGGGGATTCCGAATACAATATTGGTTTTCAGGATTATCGATTACTTTTATCGATTTTATCGATTTTTTTGCAAAGTTTGAGCTAGGGGGCTGGGAGTTGGCACAGGGGGGTAATCGAGCATGCTGATCATCCCCAAGGGGGGTGATCAGCATGCTCGAACACCTCTGTGCAAACTCCCAGCCCCGCAGGTCAAACTTTGCAAAAAAATCGATAAAATCGATAAAAGTAATGGACGATCCTGAAAACTAATATTGTATTCGGAATCCCCATGCTCACTTCCCCCCTGTGCCAACTCCTAGCCCTGTAGGTGAACTCTGCCAAAAAATCGATAAAATCAATAAAAGTAACCGATAATTCTGAAAACTAATATTGTATTCGGAATCCCCATGCTCACTTCCCCCCTGTGCCAACTCCTAGCCCTGTAGGTGAACTCTGCGAAAAAAATCGATAAAAATCGGTAAGATCGACATCGATCGATAACGAAAAGTGGACTGTGACACGCGCCGGGGCCCGAAGTGTATGTGTGCCAAGTTTGGTCCGGATACGGCGGAGCCGGGTAAGCCAGCTAGTAAGATAATATACATCTCATATGGAGACGCCACTTCGACCAAGTATCCCTCCCTTTGAGATACAACTTTTATCTGCAAAGCGCTTTTGGAAGTGGAGTTCTGAGGTTTCTGAGGTAAAAATCCAATGATTTGGCTACTAAAAACACGTGTTGGATCTTTTCGGCGCTGGAAAGAGTAATGACTGACGCGAGTTTATTAGACTAAAGATCATGACTTATAATAAAGCGCTAAGCGTCTCTTTTTGTCTGTGTGTGTATATCTGTCTGTCACGAAATTCACAGAGTGAGTTGCAGCCAGCGTCTTGATCTAGAATTTTGGTGATAGCACCCTGTCAGCGTGTAGGTAAACTATGCAAAATCTCAAGCCGATCCCGTAAGTGGAACCATCGAAAACTGTGCGTCAAAAGGACCCACGCGACTTTTGGTCAGCCAAAATGGGTCTGTAATTGGACGTTTTGCAAAGTAGTGGATTTGTTCAGCAAGTAAATCCGAAAAACATTGACTTCAGCTCAAAAAGTAAGCAAAAAGTTTATTTTTGCACAAAATTTGCGCCGAAAAGATGTAACAGAGCAAATTGTCGATTTGCCAAGTTTTTACTATAAAAGTTGAGAGGATTTTTGAATAGATATGTAGCCCAAGGTGGTCTTCATCCTTATGGCGACTATGAAGCAAAAGTAAATTCAGTAACCCATTCAAACTCGCATTTGTTTTTCTGCGAGAAAAATTTTTCTCCCAAAATTACCGATCTTACATGGAAAAGCTCTAAAAATGAATGGTTGTTTACAATTCATTCGTGATGTTCAGCATCGCGCGGTGAGTTTCAAAGTCATTATTATGCGATCACGAAGAAGGCACCTATAGTAGAGCCAGTGCGAACCTCTGCGAAGCAGAGGTGACGCACTGGTATCTTATATATAAAGCTGAATGTCTGTTTGTCTGTCTGTATGTCTGTCTGTCTGTCTGTGTGTACGTATGTTCCGAATAGAAAATTCCATTTCTGAAGCGATCCGGACCAAACTTGGCACACATACACTACGGGCCCCGGCGGGTGTCATAGGCTACTTTTCGTCATCGATCGATATCGATTTTATCGATTTTTTGCAAAATCTGAGCTACGGGGCTGGGAGTTGGCACAGGGGGGTAATCGAGCATGCTGATTACGAATTCAACATTAGTTTTTAAAATCGTGCATTACTTTTATCGATTTTATCGATTTTTTTGCAAAGTTTGAGCTACGGGGCTGGGAGTTGGCACAGGGGGGTAATCGAGCATGCTGATTACGAATACAACATTAGTTTTTAAAATCGTGCATTACTTTTAGCGATTTTATCGATTTTTTTGCAAAGTTTGGGCTACGGGGCTGGGAGTTGGCACAGGGGGGTAATCGAGCATGCTGATTACGAATACAATTTTAGTTTTTAGGATTATCCGCTACTTTTATTGATTTTATCGATTTTTTTGCAAAGTTTGACCTACGGGGCTGGGAGTTGGCACAGGGGGGTAATCGAGCATGCTGTTTACGAATACAATTTTAGTTTTTAGAATTATCCGCTACTTTTATCGTTTTTATCGATTTTTTTGCAAAGTTTGAGCTAAGGGGCTGGGAGTTGGCACGGGAGGGGGGTAATCGAGCATGCTGATTACGAATGTAGTAAACTGTTTGTGAGAATATCCAGTACTTTGTTTTTAGAACCTTGGACTAGAAGGGTGTATATTGGTACTTGATAATGCTGATTCAAACGAGGTTACCTTCATTTCATATCCTCAATCCTGCATCAAAATATTCTTTTCTCTTATTTAGGACTGGATTTCGGTAAGGGTTAAGCGATTGTGGTTATTGCAAAACATCCTCCCTAGAATAATTCGAGCGCTAATGCTACGCTCAAATGTATTAAAAATACACTGGTCATTTTTATAAAATCACAACTTCATTTTTTTGGGCGAGGTCTATTCTGAAAAATATTTTATTTATGAAACACTCTTGGATTTCAGGTTCTGATAGACCTAGACAAATTGTTGAATTTTTGCATTTGCATGCACACACTGTATATGTGGGTAAACATACAAAAGTATTTTGAGAAAAAAACCGTTTTTCTAGGGTTTTTTAAAATTTATTGGGAGGAAATCATGATGGCGTCTTCGAATGAGAAGAAGAAAAAATATTTGAGTAGCACCGCTGGATTGGCCATCACAAGTTAGCATATACGTGTTTTTGACGCAAGGTCCCAGGATATCTCTGAAACGAGATACAAATATTTTTGATTTTTCTGTAAAAATTCCGGTTTCACCGAGTGTTGATATATCCGTACGCTTTTGGCGAGTGAACCGTGGGTTCCGCCTCGACTGAGGTGGCCGAATGGCTCACCTCGACGGAGGTGTTGAGCCAGTGGTTCAATTTTTGCTACAACCTCGGTTGTCCGACAGAGGCAACCGATGGTTGGTCTCACAACCGAGTGGTTGTACCTCCGAATGGAGGCGAACAACCGAGTGGTTGTACCTCCGAATGGAGGCGAACAACCGAGTGGTTGTACCTCCGAATGGAGGCGAACAACCGAGTGGTTGTACCTCCGAATGGAGGCGAACAACCGAGTGGTTGTACCTCCGAATGGAGGCGAACAACCGAGTGGTTGTACCTCCGAATGGAGGCGAACAACCGAGTGGTTGTACCTCCGAATGGAGGCGAACAACCGAGTGGTTGTACCTCCGAATGGAGGCGAACAACCGAGTGGTTGTACCTCCGAATGGAGGCGAACAACCGAGTGGTTGTACCTCCGAATGGAGGCGAACAACCGAGTGGTTGTACCTCCGAATGGAGGCGAACAACCGAGTGGTTGTACCTCCGAATGGAGGCGAACAACCGAGTGGTTGTACCTCCGAATGGAGGCGAACAACCGAGTGGTTGTACCTCCGAATGGAGGCGAACAACCGAGTGGTTGTACCTCCGAATGGAGGCGAACAACCGAGTGGTTGTACCTCCGAATGGAGGCGAACAACCGAGTGGTTGTACCTCCGAATGGAGGCGAACAACCGAGTGGTTGTACCTCCGAATGGAGGCGAACAACCGAGTGGTTGTACCTCCGAATGGAGGCGAACAACCGAGTGGTTGTACCTCCGAATGGAGGCGAACAACCGAGTGGTTGTACCTCCGAATGGAGGCGAACAACCGAGTGGTTGTACCTCCGAATGGAGGCGAACAACCGAGTGGTTGTACCTCCGAATGGAGGCGAACAACCGAGTGGTTGTACCTCCGAATGGAGGCGAACAACCGAGTGGTTGTACCTCCGAATGGAGGCGAACAACCGAGTGGTTGTACCTCCGAATGGAGGCGAACAACCGAGTGGTTGTACCTCCGAATGGAGGCGAACAACCGAGTGGTTGTACCTCCGAATGGAGGCGAACAACCGAGTGGTTGTACCTCCGAATGGAGGCGAAC